TCAGTATTACTGCTATTATTGCAGGGTCTAGTCCTAAAATACTATGCATAATGGAAGAAGTACCACAGAAATCAACATCTTGTTTGCACAGATACTTGTTGAAAGGTTGCAGGGCCAAAAGCTTCTCGGGGGACCCCTGCCACACAGCTCTTCTTATTGACTCTGCAAAGAACTGACAATGGAGGCATCAGGCAGCTTGGTCCATATGGCACCAGGCTTTGATTGCTTGTTACTGCTCTCATATAAGAGTCTTGTTCGTGACTGATGGGGAAAAAGGCTTGTGTCCCTCAGTTTGCCTTATGCTGTTTCTACCATGTTTAGGTCAATCTCTTCAGCGTTTTGACTTGGAAGGACCCTTGGCTGTGTATACAGTCATGTAGCTGTGACTTACAACAGCATGAGGAGTACTCTCCGCAAATTTGCAGAAAACACTGAGCTGGAGGGGGAGCAGACAATGTACTGGAGGGCAGGACTGTGGTTCTGAAGGACCTGGTCAAGCTGAAGGAATGGCCTGGCAAGAACCTCCCAGATTTCAAGAATGCAAATGCAAATCTTCGACCTCACAGGGGGATTATTCCATGCACCAGTACAGGCTGGGATATGACCAGCTCGGAAGCAGGTCTGCACAAAACGACCTGGTGGTCAAGGTTGGCAGCAAGCTGAATGAGAGCCAGCAATGCGCCCTTGCAGCAAAGGTCAACAGCATCCTGGGCTGTCATAGCAAGAATGTAACCAGCAGGTCCAGGAGGTTGATCCTCCACCTCTATTCAGCACTTGTGAGACCATTTCTGAAGTGCTCTGTCCAGAATTTTGGCTCCCCAGTGCAGGAAAGATGTTCACATACTGGAGTGAGTCTCGCACAGTGCAATGAGGATGGTCAGAGCATTCAATGTATGAGAAGAAGCTGAGAGAGATGGGCATGTTGAGCCCATAGAAGTAAAGGCTCAAGGAGGTCTTACTAGTTTCTGACCAGAGGACACAAAAAATGGTGGTGCCAGACTCTTCATATAGGTGCATGGTGATGGGACATGAGGCAGTAGGGAAAAGTTGGAACACAGTAAATTCTGATTAGATATTTGAAACTTTTTTACCAGGAGGGCATTCAAACACCATGGCACCAGGGCCCAGAGAGGATATGTGATTTCCATCCTTGGAGATATTCAAGCCTCGAGTGGACATGGTCCTGAGAAACCTCATCTGATTAGACCTGGTTTTGAGATGCAGGTTGGGCTAGATGACCACTGAAGGTCCCCGTCCAGACTAAATTCTTCTTTGAGTCTATGGTGTATGGATGTAGTGGTACAATGGAGAAAAGTGAGAGAGTGCCAAAACAAAAATAGAGAAGTCAAAGAGAAAGGGGAAAAAACAACAAAAAAATTATAATAGTCAAAACACAAACTGGAGAAAAAACTATAGAGAAAGGGTAAATGCTAATGCTGTAGTGATATCTCAGGAAAAAAATATCTCTGTTGAGAAATGGGGTGTCATTTTAGAAATTAACTACTACGATGTTCACTTTTATAACAACCTTAAGTATCCTAGAAAAATACTACTCATTGGAAATGCTTTAAATGAGAATTATTCTGTTTTACATTATATGTATAATAATATATTGTATTTTTAAAGACATTTTTGAGCCAAAGTGTAGCACTTGGAAGTCTGGAAATGACAAAATTTAGACTGATTTAGTTCAGTTGTTTCTACATACATACTGAATAATGTTAATGGTGGCATACTAAATACATGAGCATGAGCTGTGTTTCCAGAGGATCCCTGCTGCTCTAAGGAAATGAAGCAGGCAGTCAGTATTTCTTATAAGCTTTACAATTTATTTATTGCATTTATTATCAGTCCATACTGACTTTTTATTGAATACAACAGTCTTAATTCTCTTGGGATACTTCTACAGTCTGTGTGACTTTAGCATATGGGTTCTCATAAACAGCAATGAACAACTCTGTCATATTTGGAGATGGTATATTTTTTCCTGTTTCCTAAGAGGGATTTCATGTACAGCCTGATGGAGATTCATCAAAACTGCCCACTGATGGCAAGAGAAATTTAGGTGCTTTGCACCTGATATTTGGGAGCATTTAACAAGCTTGTAATATCTTATATGTTAAAAACATCCTTGCAATTTATTTGTCACCATGGACTCCAAACCTGAACCCAGGTAAGTCATTAAGACATTTCAAAAATGAGTAATTTGTACAGTGGAAATACACATTTAGTGAAACTACACTGACCTGAAATGTATGCCATCAGCAAAGGTCAGGTCCTCATAGTGACACAGAGGAGATCTTTATCACTTGAGCTAGTAGTTTCAGTAGCTGTTCCTCCCCTGGACTGACGCTCCAGGGAGGCAGGGCAAAGACTTTTCCAGTTGATTTCATATCCATTCACTGAAGTAAAAAAGATGGTCACACTACTCCTTAAGTCAAAGACAAATTTCCAAGGCAATGGTGCTTGTTACTTTGTTATGAACTCTGCTATTTTGGTTTTTCCTTGCTGTCTTTTCCTATTTTGCCTCTATTCACTCAATCTTTGCTTGTACATTTACGCTGTCTCTGCCTCCTTCTTTCCAGCCCTGCCTGCCCTCTGTGAAGCCCAGGCTGCCTTCCTAACCCTTGAACCCTTGATGTCTGATGGTGCCTTAGGACCAAGCGGTCCCTCTGCTCGGGCTCTTTCTCCCATGCTCCTTGAGCAGAACATCTCTGAGGCGGGGGGACATCTCCCTCTTCCATTTCATGCCCAGAGTGGGCTCTCCCAGGTGCTTCAGGAGCAGTGGATGCCCCGGAGGTGGAGGCTGGAGCATGCCCAAACATCCATTTGCTGATGCACTGGTCATTCAGACAGAGAAGCTGTAAATGGATGCAGCATGCTCACTACAGTTGAAATCTTTGGAGAATTTAAGATGCAAACACCTTTCTCCTGAGCATAGCAAACTGCAGCCTGGTGCGAAGCTGGTGGCTGGGTTTGTGTTTTGGGGAGGCTGTATGTCGCATTTCTGTTTCTCACTGAGAAACCTGCTGAAGTCTGTTTTTTTGTAGACAGTGAAAATATCTAATTTTCAGGCTACATATGACTCAACTTTAGCTGGGACTTTAAGAAAAAAAAAAAAACAAAAACAACCTGAGGCAGGTATCTTGCAGAGGCAACTCCAGTCCAAACTGCAAAGGTTTAATAAAGTAAAAACAAATTGAGTCTTGTACAGAAAGTGCTGGCAACATTAACTATAGGCACTAGTGCTATTTCTGTATATAATATCCCGAGTTTTCATATATACTAGTAAACTGCTGAAATTCTCTCCGCCTTTTTATGAAATACTAGAAAAGAACTATGATTCTGCATTTCAGTTTTGAGATAGTGTGTTTAGCTTGGCACACCTACGATCTTTATCAATTTTTAAATGCTTTCTCATTTTTTTAAATTATATTTGCTATGTTCTTCCAATAATTAACATTTTACAATTGGGAGGCAATAGAAACATGACTCAAACCTAACTGTCTAGCATATCAATGTCTGGTACATACCTACTGAAGTAATAGCAGACACAAAAAAAAAAAACAATCACAAAACCCCACGAAACCCCAAACCCATCTAACAACGTCTAATTTCCTTCCAAGTTCTAGCAGTCACAGGTCAAGGAAATGCATTTATTCTTCAGGATTAATGGCAGACTGATTTTAGTTGATTCACAGATACCTATGGCTAAGAGCCCTTAGAAATACACCTAACTTCTGCTAACATCACACAGTTTGTACAGGCACTCTGATAACACCTACTACACTACTGAGCTTTGGTTGTTTTTAACAGAGGTGGCACCTAAATACTTACAAAAAGGAGAAATTGCTGCAATACACACTAGTGTTCTCTAACATAATACCACTGGGAAACCAGGACTAGACCTCATACGCTAAATCCCATGGACAGCTGTAGGAGCAACGCTGCTTGTGCTCTGAGAAGATTGCAATGTAAATAACATTCTTCCTGTTTCAGCCTTAAAGGACTATAAACAGAGTGAAATGAAACTCGGAAGGAATTTGTGTAAACCATTAGGATTTAATCCTATGCCTTTGGGAATTAACGAGAATATCAGTTAGAAGATCAAGATCTTAGAAAGCAGACAGAAGCATTTGGGGAAAAAAGCTAAAAAATAGGAATATAGTAAGCAGCACTTGTGGAACAGATTTTTTCTCCATTTCTTCACTAGATGATGGGTTTCCTGGCTCCCTGAAATGTGAGTAGCAGCATTTGTTTTAAAATCTGCGGGTTGAATTTTCCTCCTGTTTTAATAATCCTTAATGGACATTATACTCTATCTCTGTGTCTGTTTTTATGAGGGAGAGCGGCTTTAGACACTGAATTATACTAGCACCCATGTTTAATAACTTAGCAAAACATTTGCCTGTGACATTCTCAGCACTGTAATGCTAATTAGGCAAAATAAACAGATGAAATGAAAACCGGGCAAAGTTCTTTCTCAAGATTTAATTTGGGACCAGAAACGCCGCTGATGGGACAGGGAAGTGGGAATTGCAGGTACGGCCGCGCAGGAGCAATGAGATGCTGACTTATTTTTTTAAGCCTCGCACTCATAACTTGCGACGTAAAGGTCACTTCAGAAAAGCAGTCCAAGGTCACGCTCCGCGAACCCCCCGTATCTCGGCTCCGGCCGCAGCGCCGCGTTACCGCGGAGCCGGCAGCCTGGGGGGGGCGTGGGGTGCTGCCCCAGCCCCCGCGGCGCGACCCACCCGCGACACCCTTCGGCTTCCACGCGCGACCAGCCCTCTGCCGCCTCCCTCGCCCCGGGCCGCTCGGGGGCGTGGCGGGGGCGTGGCGGGGGCGGAGCGAGCGGCTCCCGGCACCGCCCGCGGCCGGGGGGGAAAGTTCCCCAAACTTCTCCCCGGCGGGGCGCGGGGGGCGGGGGCGTCAGAGGCCACGCCCCGCCACCACCACGCCCCGCCCCTTCCCCGGCGGAGCGCGGCCCGGTGCGGGCCCCGCCGCGGCCGCCGCCCCCCCCGGCAGGGGCGGGCAGGGGGAGGGGCGCGTCGGGCCGGGCGGCGCCGGGGGGACTAGGGGGAGCTGCTGCACCTGAGACACCGGGGCGGGAGCGCGGCGAGGGAGGGAGGGAGGGAGCGAACGCCTCTCCCCGCCGTTAGTCAGCGCTGGTCTCGCTGCCGCTCCCTCCTCCCGCCCCTTCTGCGCGGAGCTGGGCTCTCGCTCCTGTTCCCCTCGGGGCCGCCGGCAGCGCGTCCTCCTCCTCCTCCTCCTTCTTTCTTTTTTTTTTTTTTTTTTTTTTTTTTTAACCCACCCCTCGGGCCCCATGGCTTCGGCCGGCAGCGGCATGGAGGAGGTACGCGTCTCGGTGCTGACCCCGCTGAAGCTGGTGGGGCTGGTGTGCATCTTCCTGGCGCTGTGCCTGGACCTGGGAGCCGTGCTGAGCCCCGCCTGGGTGACGGCGGACCACCAGTACTACCTGTCCCTCTGGGAGTCCTGCCGCAAGCCCGGCAACTTGGACAGCTGGCTCTGCGAGTCGACGCTGCACAGCGGTGAGATACGGCTGCCCCGGGGCCTGCCCCCCCGATATCCTCCCCGTAACCCCCCCACCTGCCCGGCGCCGCTCCCCTCCGCCGGCGGCACCCCCACCGTGCAGCCGCCCTCCGCCCGGCCCCTGTCTCGTCCCTCCTTCGGCCCTCTCTGCCTTCCTTCCCCTCCTCAGCCGCGTCCCGCTCCCCCGGCCGCACCCCGGGGTACTGAGTTACCCCGCCTCCCTTCCCCGTGCCCTGGCTGCCCCGCCAGCGTCCCCCGAGCCGCGTCTCCTTCACCCTTGCCTCCTCCGGGACTGTGTCCCGACCCCTTCCCGGGGCCAGCTCCCCCCGGACTCGCGGGTCTTGCCCCGCCGCCCCCCCCCCCCCCCCCCCCCACCCCGGGCTCCCGGCCTCGCCCGCTGCCGCCCCTGCGCCCCGTCCGGCTCCCCGCTCCGGGGAAAAGTCCCTGGCACCTTTGTCCTCCCGCCCTCCGCGCCCCTCCCCTTCCCGAGCCCCTTCGTCCGCCCTCCTCCTCCTCCTCCCTGCCTCCCCGGTCCCGGCGCTTTGCCCTCCCCGGGCTGCGCGGCCCCGGCCCCGCATTTCCCCGCCTTTCGGGCTGGGGCGAAGGCGGCGGCGGGTCCGTAAATAGCGTGTGCGGAGTGGGGGGAGCCCCGAGTGTCCGTGCTCGGCTCGTCCCTCTGCCTGCGAGACGGTCCGGGCTGCCGGGGGGGGGGGGGGGGGGGGGGGGGTGTCAGGTTGGCTTCTGCGGGCGAAAGGGGTGACTGATTTCGTGTCTGCCTTGGACTGTGCTTTCACAAGAGATCCCGAGTTTGGACTAGTTTTGATTATTTTTCCTTGTGTCAGTTGTTCTCATATACTGAGAAGCAGTTGGGGATCAAATATAATTCCTCCCCCACCCCCCGAAGTCACTAGCCTTGGGACACTGGGGCTTCCTAAACCAAAACCGGTGTTCTTTTGTCCCGAGTGAGGACGCCTGGACCCTGGCTCTCTCCATCCCTTTGGGTGTGCCTGTGTCTGTCTGTCTGTCTTTCTCTAGCAGGTAGTGATCTTCCCATCGTTTTTCGTACTCCTTTGCCTGCTTGTCACACTCCCTGTTTTGATTTCTCGGTGCTCATTCGTTCTTCACCTTTCTAGCTCCTTAGTCATAGATTTCTTTTTTAATGTCATTTCAGTATTGGTTGGAGTACTTAAAAAATGGGTTGTGAATGATATAAACAAGCTGCCTGTGGAATATTTTTCAGTAAATTCTTTTGTAGCACTGTAATTGTTTCCATTTCAATGGGTTGTTTTATTTACTTTATGCATGATAGCAACTTCTGGAGTCCCAATATTTCTATTGACAAATGAAGCCAGCCTCTTTCTCCCACCCCGTTTTCATCCCCATCCCCGTCCTCCGCACACACACGATTGCATTGCTAAATCAACTGTTTGGATCACTGTGCTCTCCAGTTGGGTAAATCATACAGGGACAAGATGTTTGTTTTGGGAAAGAAGGCAAGGGACTGACTCTATATTCTAGACGCTCTCCTTTTTCCTTGCTTCTCTGGAATCCTTGTATAGGTTCTGGGAAATAACTGATCTCTGCTTGAGTAGAAATCACACAGGTTTCTTTGCTGCTGTGTTTATTGTCTTTTTGTCATTGTGTGGAGTAATATTTTGAGGGTTTGAATGCTGTTTGGGGTTTTGTTTTAAATCAGGTAATGCCAAAACGAATTGTAAAGAAACGTCGTTTTCAGTCAGTTACCAGGGTATCTACACAAACTTTGGAGAGCTTTCTTTTCCTTTCTCAGTATAAATGGAAATTTATGTAGGAATGTCGGCTTCTACGTGTCTCCTTAGCAACGTGAATCCTTTGCCCCTTTTCCCTGTCTCCTGAAATAGTATCCCCTTGATTTGCAGAAAGACTTTTCAGATGGCTTGAATGAGAGCCTGCTTCAAATCCTGCTCCCCCCCCCACACACACTATTGCTCTGCACACACTCTATTGGGCTCCCCCCTCAATCCATCTCCCCGCCACGCATGCGTGTATACACACAATCGTACAAGTGGGGCATGAAGAAAAGCAGAACATCGTATGGAACAGCATAAAAGAACACTAATCTCTCTTGTTGCTTTATCGGTCACCTGTTTATAGGAAGGTGAAAGATGAATGGGTTAGGATGGATAGGAATGAAATGTAGTTTTGTTGGATGCTGTGTGTTGAAAACTTGTTCTCTCTTGGTGCTTTCTTCCATCCTGTGCAAAAATTCCTGCCTGTCCAGTTTTATTCAAGTTCCTTGAAAGAGCTTTACTCATTTTCCTCAGATACTTTCCAGTCTACTGGAGCCAGGTTTCACAAGCTACTGGGAAAGAAGTGAATAATTGTTTTATTTGAGGTGACTGGAATAAACCCTTTACTTTCCTCATGTTTAGCACACAAAGCTGCACTCTGCAGAGACCTGAAATATGAGAAACTGCATTGTTCTGTTTTGCCTTCCGCTAGTGTGTTACAATTCCCATTAAAGTCAGTAGGAAGGCTTCCAGTAAGTTCAGAAAGTTGGATTGGGCTCATATTTGAAACCATTTTGTGTGCTTGCCTTCATATTCTAAGTGCACTTTCTTCCTACATCAAGAATCTAGCAAGCAGTATATTTTGGAGATACTGGAGAGCTCCCACAGGGAAGGCTCTTTTAGCTTGATAACGGTGCAAGCAGCTTTGTAGCTAGCTAGCTGTGAAAAGCAGTAGTACACACAGGAAAAAGGCATCTTCACCCACGGTTTTAAGAGATTTACTTCATCATCCCTTGAAGGAGAGCACCTCAAGTGGCACCATCAAGGGCAAGCTCATGATAGAAGCTGTTAAAGCATATTCGAGGTTTAATTAAAAACCTTTGTCGTAATTAGATGTAGGACCCCTGACTGCTATCAAAAGGGCAACTTAGTGGAGAGCAGAAGGAAATGTACAGAGCATGATTATATTGGCTGTTATAGCAGGAAATAATCCCTCGGTTTTCCTTGAGGGTTGCTAGTGCTTGGAGTATGTGTTCTTGCATTCATTCATTCACTGTTTTGAGGGCTTTAAAGTTGTGTAAGTGCATCCTTGAACCATCAATACTGTGAAGTAAAATAGTCAATTTTTAGAAATCTGAAGATTATAAAATATCTGATTTTAATTTGCTTTTCTTCTTTTTGAGTCTGTAGGGTCTATGTAAATCACCTGTTCAATTTTTTTCCTGTAATTGCAGGCGTTAGAAAGGTATTGTTGCATATCCCTTATCTCCCTCTTCCCTTGATGAAATTCTAAAATTCTCACTAATAGCAACTTCAGGAGCTGAAAAACTAAGAAAGTTGCCAGTATGAAAAGCTTCGTGATTAAAATCTTGAGATCCAGAAATGCTGCTTTACAGTTTCACTAGCTGTCTGGGCATAAAATTATTTTCTGTGATCAAAGCTTAACTTGGCTAATGTACAAGTTATCTTTAAGTCATCTGTATTTTAAACTCGTGTGCTAAATTAAAAAAAAAAACAAAAAAACAAAAAAAAAAAAAAACCCACAACAACTTTACAGGTTTTGGAGTGTTCCTTTGGTGTCTTTAAACAACTTTTTTTTTTTTTTAAAGACCTCATTTGGAGTGGATTATATCAAATCTGTAAATGAACCATCACAAATTAATCAAGAGCTAAGAGTTATGTATGAATATTTATTTCTATCACAGCATCTGCCTAAAATTAAATGCATCATACGTGCAACTGCCTGGTGTCTGTACCTGTACAGGTGGTTGTCTTCTGGCTGCAGTATTAAAAACAGTAAATTTGTATTTGTGCAACAGACTGACGCCATTATAGTTCTTTAAATGAAAAATACACAAATAATGATGTAGAAGACATAAATGGTTCCATAGAATCTGATCTGCAGGTCAGTATCGTGTATTTTGGCTTCAGTATGCGTATATGCTATTCATAGGAAACAATGGCTCCTTTGCAGCATTTCAGTTTATTGTGAACATATATAAAAATACATTTTAATGGTTTCATACTGATTAACTGTATTCATTCTGGTGAATGGGGTTATATGTCTTTGCTACTTAACAACCTATATGTTTGTTTATGCAATGTTGAGTTTTTCTTTAAGAATGTTATATTCTTTAAGAACTGTCCATGAATCTTTCAAAGACAAAGCATACTCAAGGAAATAAATGCAACAGGGTCTCTGTATGTTTTTAAACTTAATAAAGGTAAGCTGAACTTACAGTATAGTGCAGTAAAACAACTTGAGTCTAGTATTATGCTTATAATTCTGTTCTAATTTGTTCTTAAAATAAAAATAAGCATCAGAGGCTGCTCATTTGGTAGCACTTGAATGGGTTTAACCTTAATTATATATTAGACGCAGATATCTGAATTGACATGGCTCAGTAGTCTTGGATGGTATCTGCTTGTTTTGAATCTAAGGACTTCTTCCAAGGGGAAATTGCTAGCTCAAAAGCAGCTTCCTCATTAGAAGATCTGGATCATTGCTCAGAGTTGATGTTGACACCTATTTGTAAAAAGCTCAGCGAGACTGATTGCTATAAAATTACATAAGAACAGCAAATGTAATTTTACTAAGTCTGAAGAAAGTGGCTCATACAATGTAAGGAGGAATTAATGAAACATTCCTTCTGTTTTTGAAAACTGTAGTCTGTCATTTTGCATATTACTCACTTTAATAATCATCCCCAACTCTTTATCTGAAGGTGGATGTGAATTCAAAAGCCATACTACTTCAAACTCAGCATGTAAGACCCTGAGCAAGCTGATCTAACTTTGAAATTGAGTCTGACTTGGAGACTGGCCCTTCTTTCCATGGGGAGATGAACTAGGTGACCTCCAGAAGTCTTTCCCAACCTAAATAATTCTGTGATTCTATGATGACTGATACTCTGTTTATGCCTGATGTCTGTCTGGCTCCTTCAGTGTGTTCAAAATGCCTTGAATTTGTTAACTACCCCTCATGGTAGCCCCAGATAGAATATTTGTAA